CCCAATAGATACTCTGATATTAACTTAGAGCACATCACTACCCCTTTCTGCTCTACCCCTGGGCCTTTGCACTGGCCACTTCCACTGCGGGGTACACACCCTTGTAACCTTGCATCTCCCTCCCCCTTTTTCAGGATCTCTGTTCAAATGTCATTGTTTGCAAATCTTGCCTAAAAACCCATAAAAAATACAATGCCCTAGTCACTTTCTCCTTTAGACTTGCTTTCCCCCTCTTCGTATCACCTGTCACCATCTGAGATGTTATATATTTTTATCATTTTCTCTTACATTCTTTCCTCACCATTGAATTGTAGGGACTTTTGTGCTTCACCATCTATACACACAGCCAAGACAGTGTCTAAAACATTGTCAACAATTAATATTCTTGAAATACATGAAGATTTTCTTATTAACACTGTAGAATACATGAACCTGTAGGAAATAAAGCAGAATGAGACTAAAAATCCTAATTTGAGATGGCACAGGAAACTTCCAATGGGGACCAGATTTATATAAAACATATTGAAATTGATTTCTTGACTGCAAAATATAAACTCTAGCATTGGAACTATGTGATTAATACCAGTTTGTATGAAAATTACTCATGTTATTTTCCTCTTCCTTGTAAATCATCTTCACTTCATGGAACCAAGGAATCTTACAAGAGATTCAGAATTTCTTCTTCTGGGACTTCCAGAGGAACCAGAACTGCAGCTCTTCATATTTGGGCTCTTCCTCTCCATGTACTTGAACACTGTGTCTGGAATCCTGCTCATCATCCTGGCCATCAGCTCAGACTCCCACCTCCACACGCCCATGTACTTCTTCCTCTCCAACCTGCCCTTGACAGATATCTGTTTCACCTCCACCATTGTCCCAAAGATGTTGGTGAACGTCCTGACACAGAGCAGAGTTGTAACCTATGTAGGGAGCATAACAATGTACATTTTCCTACTCTTTGCAATGTTGGATGACTTCCTCCTGACCATGATGGCCTATGACTGCTTTGTGGCCATCTACCCCCTGTTCTACATAGTCATCATGAACCCCCGGCTCTGTGGACTGCTGCTTCTGGTGTCCTGGATCATGAATGCCCTGTATTCCTTGTTGCAAAGCTTAATGGTGTTGAGGCTGTCCTGTAAAGACTTGAAAATCCCCCACTTTTTCTGTGAACTCAATCAGATGATTCAACTTGCCTGTTCTGAAAACTTTCTTAATAACATGCTGATGCACTTTGTAACTGTTCTGCTGAGTGGTAGTCCCCTGACTGAAATCTTTTATTCACACTGTCAGATCATTTTCTGCATATGTGGAATTGCATCAGCTCAGGGGAAGTATAAAGCAAGTACCTGTGAATCTCACTTCTCAGTTGTTGCTTTATTTTATTGCACGGGCCTAGGAGTGTACCTCAGCTCTGCTGCAACCCACAGCTCACATTCGAGTACAGTAGCCTCAGTGATGTCCACCGTGGTCACACCCATGTTGAACCCCTTTATTTATAATCTGAGGAACAAAGTTATAAAGGCAGCTTTGAATAAATTTTTTGGGATGGTCAATACACAAGGGATAATTTTCTGGGCCTCAAGATATTCCCATGACTGAATAGCCAAAAGTTTGGAGCCAGTGACTATGGAAGTAGAATGTACCTCTTCTGTTTATTTACTGGAATTGCTACTTATTTGAATTCACCTTCTCTATATAATGTAAGTAATTTAGTTTTATATTACATTCTGCTCTAATATTTAGATCTTTTTCCACTCTAACCCAGAGTCTAACTCTGTGTTAGACTCAGCTAGACATAGTTTTAGGTTTTCTGAACAAAATTTTTCTTGCATGTGGTATTAAAAGAATAATGTATTCACTCATTCAGAAAATGTGACAAATTCTGGGTTTATTTTCTTTATATAAAGGCCCTTGAGTGGCACATAGTAATACACTTTTAAAAAGAACAGAAGAAGCACCTCTTAAGCATATCCACAGCCTCAGCCCTAGGGCCTTTGAACTTGATATTTTTATAACAGGGAGGATTAGGGTAACAGGTGGAACAAGGTTAATAATTGGCGACTGTAAGGTAGAAGAGGAGGCAGGATCATCTATGTGGGATGAAGGTGACCACAATGCTCCTCTAGAAGCAGAAGAGGAGACAAGATGAACATGCCACACTGCTGGCTTTGAAGAATGAGGAAGGGCCAGGAGCCAAGGAATGCAGCTGGCCAGAATGCAAACTGGAATGGAAACAATTTCAACTGAGCCTCTACAGGAAACCCAACCCTGCAGACATCTTGAGTTTAGACATTGAGACACATTGACATGTCTGACACAGAACTGTGAGAGCATATATTTGCTTGTTTTAAACAACTAGTGTGGGAATATTTTACAGCAGTGGTAGAATCTAATATAGACATTTATTCAATAAAGTTTGCTGAGGGAACTGAGTTGAAGCCTCTCCATTCATTCATTATTGTCTTTGGGTAGGAGAATTTTATGTCGAAAAACCACAGGAAGAAGAAAGAAATTTTAAATGGAGATATTGCACCTAAACAGTGGTACAGTGAAGTCAGCATTGCATAAATGTAAACATGATCTGGCTATGATGACTCTGATGCATTAAAATTTAAGGTACAACTTGAGACCTTAATTTCTCCCTCACTGAACTGTAAAAACTTTTGTTTCTCATCACCTTATACTCTTTGCTTAGAAGTGGGTCAGTCCTCTGTTTTTATTCCCCATATGCATGACGAAATTTCTCATTAAATATAGAAAAGACATGACAACTAAGGGAAAAGGCTGAATGTGAGACAGGAATTCATACTAACTGTTCCAATAGAGAAAGTAAAGATAACAAACCCCCAAATAGAGGCGCCCTCACCAGTAGTGAAATAATTCAAAGCAAAACTATTTGGAATTCCTTGTTAGACTCATAACTTAATCACTTTTCATGTTAATAACTAGCATGAGAGAAGATACTGCAATGTATGTCTCATGAATGGCAGCTGCAAGGTAGTTTCTATCCTTACTCATCTGGAACTTTTCAATGAATGCAAGACATGATCAAATACAGCCCATCTTAGAAATTTAATACGAACACTCTGACTTCACTGCACCATCCTCTACACCTGACATTCAACTCTTACTCCTCGACCAGCAAAACTATTCAGCTGTGTTTTCTACATCCATTTTATGCATCTCACTCATTCTACAGTGTCACCCAACTGATTGGGCTCTCATGTGACTCAGGTAAGAGTTCTCAGGTTCCATTCTCTCTGACCCTCTCCTGAACTAGCTGCTGGCCTCTCAGACTCATCTGGATAGGGTCTCAGACTCATCTGGAGGGAGGATCTGTATGGAAATCTGAATGGGTGGTTGATGATGGAGACTGAAGCTTCGTCCCCACACAAGACAGCAGGAAGGAGTGATGCATTGGTCTCTGAGGCAGCGTAGGAGTCAAAAGCAACAACCATTTCCCGTGGAGCCCTGTGATGCACATGCCATGGGACTGCAGCAGAGGAGGTATTTTCAGCTCCCTTTATCTGCTCATCAGACACTGTTTCCAGAGCTGCTCCCACCTCTGAGCCCCGACTTCCCTATGAGACACTTGTCCGGATAGACTAGAAATTTTTCCTGCT